AGCAAATAAACATGAGTTTGAGAACATGAGACATTAGACAAACCTAGAACTCAGGACACACACCCACAACTGTATGTCTACAATAAGAGGAAGGGTCGGGGGTAGGGGAGATGGGATGATTGAGCTAAGACTTAACTAGCTATCACCCGAGGCGGGAAAGGTCAGCCAGGAAATCAAAGGTGTCCTGTTTGAACATGAATTCTCAAGTTAACTGCATAGGTAAATTTATATATTTATATGCCCTTTTTTTTTTTTTTTTGAGAGAGAGAGAGAGAGATTTTTGCTATAAGGCACATGCACTTGCTGGAGAGACAGAGAAAGACAGAGAGACAGAAGGCAAGAAATCACTCTTCGGGGGGGATGGCCACACTACAACCCCTTTTCCATTCTCCTCTCAGGACTTTGGGGACGCATGCACATGCACTTGGTGTGAGTTTCAAGTCGCTAGATCCAGGACTCAAACCACAGTCAGCCACATGGGAGTCCAGGGCCTCAACTACTATGCCACCTACTGGTCCCATGAATTTATATTCTTTTCTCAAAGCTTTAACACATCAGGGGAGGTGTTCCTTCCCTCTCTTGGCCTTAGTTTTTCCATCTGTAAAATGCAGGTGGGGAGGGGGCAATTTCTCTAAATCGGGAAATGGCTATAAGTGAGCCTGTGACCTGCGAGAGCTATTTAAACTTGAGAGAACATTACTCTTGGTGACATTAGCCCCCAAGAGAAGCAGGATAGGAGGACCCTGGTTCCTAGCCCTGGGACTGGGAGATCCCGCAACACAGATGTAGTCGGTCCCAGCAGCATAAAGCCAGCAAGAGGCCTCACTTCAGACCATTTTTATTTTTTATGTTATTTTTTATTTGAGAGAGAGTTTTGTGATAGGATGCGTGCGCTCACCAGAGGCAGAGAGAAAGCGAGAACTCATTCCCCAGGGGGATGGCCATGCAGACAGCAAGAAATCATTCCCCAGGCCAATGGTCACACTGTAATCCCCTCTTCCTCCATTCTCCTCTCAGGATTTTGGGCATGCCCGCACACATGCCCGGCCACCGGGTCTGTGACTTGAACCGTAGTTGACTGCTTGTGAGTCCAGCAATATAACCATTATGCCATCTGCTGATCCCTCAGCTTATTTTTATTCCTGGAACTCTCAGGACAAGTCTCATTGGAAAGTTCTGAGATCGGGGCCAACAGATAGCATAATGTTACGTCGCTGGACTGCCCTGTAGTTGACTGCCATTCGAGTCCCAGACCCGGTGGCTTAAAACTCATGCCGGACACGTGTGTGTACAAGTCCAAGATCCTGAGAGGAAAGTGGAAGAGAAGGGACTTCCATGTGGCCATTCCCCCTGGGGGGTGATTTCTTGCTTTCTCTGTCTCTCCAGCAAGCACACGCACCCTAGAGCAAAACAAAAACAAAAACAAAAAAACCCAGAAAGTTCTAAGAACTTTGCCTCTCCTTGAACCTCCTATGTCTCTCCTTGAGCCTGCTATGTGTACCCAGTGCCTATCTTTCAATGTTCTCAGCAAACAAGATCCCATATAAATCACCCAGCAGGGACTATAGAATTAGAGCCCCTCTCTGAGGGAAGATAGGGGATGAAGGTGGAGGAGCTGAAGGGGGTTGAGAGTTCCTTGGGACAGAGGAAAAAGGAATGATGTCCCTGAGGGTAGGTAGGAGGGGAAGGAGAGGTAGGAAGGGAGAGCCTCCTAAGGACCTGACTTAGTGGCTAACCTGACTGGGAAGTATAAACGCAAGATAAGATCCCCAGAAGGTGATGCCCAACCTGAGTGCTTTTATTTTGTAAATAACCTTCATTTTCCTGTCCGCATCAAGTGAAGCTCCCTCCTCCCACAAGCTCACCCATGCAATATTTGAGTGCCCTTATGTTTTGTTAAAGAGTGTGTTTTATGTGTCAGGCATCAGTGTAGCTGGAGAGCTGTGTGGGGGTGATGGGCCCCAGGAGGACAGGGGCCTAGACAGGCTGAGGGAATTGGAGATTTCATGAACATGGACAGGGGTAGGAGGCCTCTGGCTTCAGGCAGAGGAGTGTGGGGAAGAACAGAGAGGTTCAAAGGAAGGGCTGTAGGAGTGTTTCCCTCTGTGGGGGCAGAGAGATGACAAAAACCTCTCCTCTGTCACCCTGGAAAAACCTCCCTACTCCCTGTGTGACTTCAAGGCTGTCAGAACCAGACTGGTGTTTGGGAATTGAGTGACAGCTTTGAGACTGGCCTCAAGGCTAGTTAACCCTGTCATATTTGGGTTTATATACATATGTATATATGTGTATATATATATATATATATACTTTTTTTGGGAGGGGAGAGGTTTTTTGCTGTAGGGAACGTGTGCTCACCACAAAGACAGAGAGAATGAGACAGAAAGCAAGAAATCACCCCCCAGAGGAGATGGCCATGCTGCAATCCCTTCTCCTCCATTCTCCTCTCGGGATCTTGGGCACACACGCACACGCGCCCAGCGTGAGTTTAAGTCATTAGATCTGGGACTCGAACTGTGGTCAGCTACATGGGAGTCCAGCAACACAGCCATTATGCCAACTTCTGGTCACAGGTTATATATATTTTAATACAAAATGAGTCTTCAGAGTTGATTGGTGGGCTTCCTCTTGGAGCTCTGAAAGCCCTTCAGCCCTGCAGCTGTGGTCTGCCTCTCTCTGTGCTCTTTCTCAGGATCTCAGCGGCTGTCCCTCTGGAAGAGACTTTGGCATACAAGCACCCACAGCGGCCCCACTGCCCAAAATGGTCACTGCGTGTGGGACAGCAGTCTCAGCCAGGCTTCGTGTCAGGGCTCCACAGACAGAATTTTACTTAGTTCTCTCATTCCCCTCCAAGCTGGGATGTTTTTCCCCTCCATATTTAGATAAGGACCTCAAGGTCTGGTGTCGTGGTAATGCCTGGATTCAAACCTGGTAGTGTAAATCCAAAGCTCATGGGGTTTTCTTTAAAGAAGTTTTTGCTCTAGGGTGTGTGCACTCGCCAGAGAGGAAGAGAGACAGAGACCATGAGAGGGAAAGTGAGAAATCAGCCCTAGGGGGATAGCCACGCTGAAATCCCTTCTCCTCCATTCTCCTCCTGGGATCTTGGGCACGCATGCACATGCACCTGGCATGATTTTCTTTTCAAAGAATTATTTTATTTAACTTGATTTTTTTTTTAATTTGACCAGAGGACAGAGTGAGAGACAGAGAGGGAAAGTGAGAAAGGAAGCTGCCAGGTCCGAGTCTCGAACCACTGTAGGCCATGTGGGAGTCCAGTGCCCTTACCCACCACGCCACCTGCCAGCCCCAACACCTGGCATGATTTTCAAGCTACTGGGTTCAGGTCTCAAGCTGTGGTTGGCCATGTGGGAGTCCAACAACCTAACCACTATGCCATCTGTTGGCTCCTAAAGCTCATGTTCTTAATGCTTGCCATCCAAACCTTGGCCTCCTTTGCTCAGGACATGGAAGGGGTGAGCCCGGTGATGGCACCCAGGCCTGAGAGCTGGGAAGGGCACTGTCTGAGCCAGCACAGTTCAAAAATTCAAGTTAGAGCAAAGCCCATTCTCCTAGAGCCTGACCTCTGGAGGGTCACTTCTAGGCTTGTTCAATAAGAAAAGAAGCTGAGGAACCAGCAGGTGACATGGTGGTTAAGGCACTGGATTCCCACATGATCAATGGGGTTCGAGTCCCAGACCTGGCAGCTTGCTTTATCACTGTCTCCTTCTCTCTGTCTCTCTCTGGTAAGTGCACATGCCCTATAGCAAAACTCTTAAAATAGTAATAAATAAAATTAAATAACAAATTCTTTGTTAAAAAAATTAAAAGAAGCAGGGACCAGCAGGTGGCATGGTGATTAAGGCGCTGGACACTCCCACATGGCCGACCATGGTTCAAGTCCTGGACCTGTAGCTTGTTTTCTCACTTCCCCTCTTTCTCTCTCTCTCTCTGTGTCTCTCTCTGTCAAATTAAGAATAAATGAATGAATAAATAAGTAATTTTTAAAAATTAAAAGAAGCTAGACAACACCCATTATCTAAGCAAATTCTCCCAACAGCCCCCTTGAGGATAACATAGTTATCTTCTTAAATTGAAAACCAGACTCAGAGAGAGCCACAACAGGCCCAGCTCACACAGCCACTCAGGGGCAGCACAGATAAGGGCTCACCTGGGTCTTCGAAGTCCTGTTCTTGCCTAAGCCCAGTTGCCTTTTGAAGAAAAGAAATTCTGAGAAAGACTTCCAAGAGCAGACATCAGAGGCAGAGGACGGCTGGGGTCCCTGGGGGTGCTGGTCCCTGCCGAGTGACAGGGAGCTGAAGGGGGAGTGTCAGAGGCCTGCAGAGTGCTGAGGCCTACACCCTGGCCAGCCCGGTTGTGATTGATGAGGACTGGGTTGCCGAGATGAGCAGCGTGGCCTCCCGAGGCTGCAGAGGGGCGGGGGAGGAGGAGCTATGAATATTTTACAGACTGAGGTCTGGACTGGGGGAAGGGAGGCCCTCGGCAGGGACAGGGGGATCAGGGACTAGGACAGCTACTGGGGAGGGGCTCGGAGAATGGGGTTCAGTGAGTGACGGTGGGGCGGGTCAGGGAGGGTTTGGGAAACAAGACAGTGAGTGGAGGGGCACCGGGATCAACTGGGGGCTCAGTGTGGGAAAGGGGTTCAGTGGATGTGACAGGGGGATACAGAGGACTCAGTAAAGGCGAGGCGCTCGCTGCCAGGGAGACGACTTAGAAGGGACCAGGACTTAGAAAAGGACCGGGTGCGTTTTTCTCTTTCACAAAATATTGCTCTGTGAGTCTGAGGACCTAGAAGGGAAGCGCGCCGTTGGGTTACCTGCCAGGCCTTGCAGCGGTGGAGGCCTCAGATCCTGCGCTACCCTGGCACCCAACCCCCTCCCCAAGCCGGTTGCGGGCCACAGACCTCAGAGGCCAGGCCTGTCCCCGGCTCCTCGAGAAAGCCATCTGCCAAGGCAGGTGGTGAGCGTCCTTGTCGCCGGCAGCGTGGTGGAGACCCCGCGGCTGACCGAGGGCGTGGAGCCGGGCCTCGAGTACGCGCCCTTCGACGAGGACGAGGGCCCGGTGGACTGCGACTGCCCGGCCGCCTGCTACCGCGGGCACCGGGGGGACAGG